CCAATTCTTTGTTCGTGGCATCTCTCAGCTGAAATTCACGTGGGTTGGTGTCGGATTAAAACACCAAGCAAATCGAACAAACAAATAAAATTTTATTTTTTTTAAATATTATTATAAATAAGCTTAAAGAGTTGGAAATCCAAAGGCAAAACATATTCTCTTGAAATACTCTCTGACAAATAATAAACTATATAGAATTTGGGTCAACCCATATCACCCTGACACAAAAATAATCAAGATTATAATAATGACAAAATGAATTTCGATTATAATGATATTGGAATAGAATAATACTACACATATAACATTTTCATACAACATTATGTAGCAAAAAATGATTACGTAAAAATTTAATTTTAATTTTAAATCAATCAATCATATTTACCACATAATGTTGTATAAAAAATATTGAATAAAATTGTTTTATGTATAGTATTACTCCATTGGGTTGAAACACAAGTTGGTAGCAAAATATTTTCTCAAGAAAACATTTTTGAAAAGCACTTTATTTGATTAAGTAGCTTCACCAAGAAGCATTTATATAATCAAAAGGGACGTGCTTCCCTCAAATATGGAGTAAACGATTTTTTTCCCACCCAAATGATGGCTTCATGACACTTTTTCACCTATAATATTTTAAAATATCATTTTATNCAAGTTGGTAGCAAAATATTTTCTCAAGAAAACATTTTTGAAAAGCACTTTATTTGATTAAGTAGCTTCACCAAGAAGCATTTATATAATCAAAAGGGACGTGATTCCCTCAAATATGGAGTAAACGATTTTTTTCCCACCCAAATGATGGCTTCATGACACTTTTTCACCTATAATATTTTAAAATATCACTTTATCACCTAAATTTATATTTTGTTTCCGATTTCGGTATCGTTGCGATCATCACTCATCAAAACTCTTCAAACCCTACTCTTGTCGACCCCGCGAATTAGCAATCGAATGATTAAGGTTTGCACAACCGTCCCTCTTAAGTCAAATTCTGATCAATCCCAATCACCAATCACCAAAATCCAATATTCCACCACCAAAAAACTAATCGGTCTCCCCTCATCAAAAGCCTCAACAACCTGGACTAAGTTTGCTCTCTGTTTATTGCAGGAATATAAACTTGGATAGTAAAATAATATTTTTAAAAATCTGTGGGTGGGAAAGTATTGTTAAGCCATTATTGGGGAGGGAAGAAGTCATTAACTCCTTAAATATGAATTGCTCAAAAATTCAAATTTTGTAATGAAGATTGTTGGATATATCACGAAGCAATCTCTTTATCTAATAATTAGAAATGTTATTGGTTAAATATCATATATCATTAAATTAAAAACACGTAAATATTTTTTTAAATATCTTATGTTAATCTATCGATATCATGACAATTAAACTATCACTATACAACGATTAGGATGAGAAGTTGGTCGTGGGTAATATTACTAATATACCAACAAAAGTCAAACTATTAGGCGAACGACAAGTTTGTAAGATGGAATACATGGAGAATGATGCATGTGATACTATAACATGTATATTCATAGTTTGAAAAAAAAAATTCAATCAAATTGAAAATAAGTAAGGTATAACATGTTACCTTAAGTCCTTAACAACCTTGGAGACTTTTAATTTCAAGAGAAATTAAACCAAAAGAGTATCCACACCAAGGTAGAAGAAGAATTAGGCCAAAAGAGATATTTAGGGTTCTTAGAGATTTTGATCTCTACACAAAAATTGATATATCATTTTCTTTATATATGTAGCCTTGTAAACAATTCAATAATTGTTTTGGACTTCCCTAAACAATTCCATAATTGTTTTTGGATTTGTAAATAATTCCATAATTATTATGAAGTTGTTACACTTCTTTAAATAACAACATTGGATTAACATTTAATCACAATTAACAATTTAACTCTTAAATTGTTCACATAACAATTTAACTCTTAAATTGTTCACATAACAATTTAACCCTTAAATTGTTCATATGTTTACAGTTACAACCCATTATTAAATCTAATTTAATATAAAGAAAATGATTAATTATGAATTGGAATTCCATTTAATTCCAATTAGTAATTTAACTCTTAAATTATTCATAATAACTAATATAACCTTCCATTGAATCTAATTCAATGATAATAATATAAATAACTTTATTACCCTTGGTAGGTGCTAGCCAACCTTGGATAATCAACTCTCTTTGGCTATTTCTCAATTCTCCTTAATTTATATGTGTGATCTCTTAGGTTCACTATGGCCTAGCCATGAGCCCAATATCACAATCTATTTCGATATGTTTTGTCATAAATCTTTATGAACAAAACTCCCACTATTATGATAAGCATCTAGCAATGCTCTATAACCCCTAAGTCACAATGAAGATATACTTAAATGAACCATTTTATAATCATACACGTTGTACAATCAAATCGTTCTGCTGTCTAATCCCAATTAAGAATGGATTCATGGTATGTCAAAATCCTTATCTTAATTTTATATCAAATTGACAATCAATATATATGGAACGTGTCACCAAGAAACAACCTTTCAAGTAACATCTTATATACCCCAGCTGGAGATTTCCCTTTTCCAATGTATCTTGACATTTGTCTAGGAACTTGATATCAATCTATACCAAGTCAACTAATGGAGATCAAGGTTCTGACCAAGTTGATGTTCCCAAATATTCTCAAGATCCTTTGCAAGGAATTGGAGGTCCAATGACTAGGGCAAAGACAAAGAGGATGAAAGAGACTTTGCAAGGCTTGATCATGGAAGTGCAATACAAAGAGGCTGTACTAGAAAACTCTAAGACTAAATTCGAAGATTTCAAAGCTTCACTAAGGATGGCCTATTATCTTTTTATGCAAGGGGTAGATTTGAAAGATCAAGTTGGATGCAAGGATTAATTTAGGAATTACTTTTCGTTTATTTAATCTTGGGTTTTTTTTTATGTTTTAATTATCATTTGATTCTTTAGTCTTTTATTTATTCAAGGTTTATTTAGGCCCAATTCGCTTGTACTTAGGCCCAACCCATTTTTCAATTAGCTAGGGTTTTCTTTTAAGGTTTGTTGCTTATAAAAAGGGGCAGTTATGTTATTTTTTGGAGGACGGATTATTATCAATTGAAGTTTATTTCAGAAAGTTATTTGCTTTGCCTTCTTGTGCTCTTGATTGAATGCTTGAATCTCGACTTATCAAAGGGAGTGATTGTAGATGCAAAAACTCTACCATCATGAAAATAGGGTCTGATCCCATGAGGTTGAGGCCATTGACAATCCGCTAGACTTACACACATAAAAGGGCAAGCGTGAAGCTTCCGAAAAACACTAGGGTGGTGTTTGCTGTAGGCACTCCAACGCTCAAGTCAACAAGGCTGAAAGAGACTATTTGATAAGAATTAAGGAGATGAAAAATTACCAGGAGTCTTTTCGGAAGCTAGGATTACGATGGAGGCGTCGGGTTCTTAGGAGCAAAAACTTTAGGAGCAAATAGATGGTTTTGAGTAGTGTTGATTGACTATCGATCGGAGATTTTTTCTTAATGAGGGGGCAAACCTCTGTTTTTATAATGAACCCAAGGGGTTGGAATCCTAGTAGGACATTGAGTCCTCTTTTTTGGGAGATAATCCCTATCGAGAAAGAAATATGATTTCTTTCCCTTATCAGATTAAGTTTAATAGTTTAAATAAGATTTAGAATCTTAGTAGGATACTAAGTCCTATTTTGGGAGATAATCCCTATCATGAAAGAGATATGATATCTTGACCTTATCAGATTAAGTTTAATACTTTAAATAAGATTTGGAATCTTAGTAGGACATTATGTCCTATTTTGGGAGATAATCCCTATCATGAAAGAGATATGATTTCTTGACCTTATCAGATCAAGTTTAATAGTTTGAGTAAGATTTGGAATCTTAGTAGAAGAGGAAATAGAATGGGATTCTGATTTCCTATTTATAGACTGTTGCAAGCTAATGGGCTGAAACCCAGTTTAGCTCAACTTTTAGGATAGCCCAACTCATAGAGTGGGTAGTTCACAAGGTGATTTTAAGCATAGGCCCAATCGGGATTGGGTTGAGGCCTTGGGCCGTGACATGTTTATTTCATTATTGGGCCTCGTCAAGCCTAAGACGATTTTTTGCCCTAACAGTGATTAACCTTTTTGGCATCTCAAGATTAGGGTTTTAAGGACTTAGTTTCCTTAGGGTTCTAATTCGATCATCCTCAACACGTTCCTAGCAAAAGAACTTGTTCTTATTCCATCATTTGGTATCAGAGCTTTGGTTGCTGGAAACATGTTATTTATCTCCAACACTCTTTGTTTGCGTTCTTGATTCAAAAAGAAAAATTGAATTCGTCTTTTCATAGTTCTTCTACGTAAAAAAGAGGCTGAAAAAAAAAAAAAAAAAAAGGAGAACAAAGTGGCAATTTCGTGTTGTTAAGTTTCCCATTCTTGTTCTCTTTGTTAAGTATCCTATTTTTTGTTGAATTAGTTCCCTTTATTCTGTTCTAGTTTCCTTTTTATTTTGTTCTAGTTTCCCTTTATTTTTGTTCCATTGATTGTTTCAAGCATATACAAGGTTGTTTTGAGTATTTTGCTTTCTTAATCATTTTGCGTCAATTCTAGTAATTTCTTTCACATGTCTTTTGCTTCCTTTTAGAGTTTTCTTATTTTTCTTGGTTCTTTAGAGTCATCTTGGGTCTTTCTTTCTGTTCACTGTTTGCCTCAACTAAGTTTTTAAAGTTTTGATTTTTGAGATTGTCACCATCTAACCGGTTGCTTCTTGAGATTTGTTGAATTCTTTGATTCTGTTAAGAACATAAAGGGGCTGGCTTGGCTTTGAGTGGTAAAAGGCAAGAGAGATCATCATCAAGAAAAAGCCAAAATAGTGTGAAACACGAGTGATAACAATCTGATTTGAGTGCAAACACGTGAGGGAGTGTGTGAGGAACAACACCTTTTATTTTATTTAATTTTACAGGTTGAAACCATGAGTAAGGAAGGAGGAGAACCACAAGAGGTCGACATGAAATTCTTCATCAAGGCTGTTAATGACCAATTTAAATTGCTGAATGCGAGATTGAATGATTTGGAGTCCTCTTCCATTTCTAAATCACATAGAAGACATGAGTTCGATGAAGAAGACGAAGTTGATTCCAAAGTGGTAAGGACAAGTTATAAACGGGCCAAGAAGGTTGACTCCAAAGGAGATAACAATATAGGTAGTATAAAGATGGCAATTCCGACTTTTCAAGGAAAGAATGATCCTGAGCTATACTTGGAGTGGGAAAGAAAGGTTGAGCACGTATTTGATTGTCATAATTACTGAAAGGAGAAGAAAGTAAAGCTAGCAGCCGTGGAGTTTACAGATTATGCAGGTATATGGTGGGATCAATTGGTGATCAATAGGCGTAGGAATGGTGAGAGGCCTATTCAGTTATGGGAAGAGATGACGTTGGTGATGTGCAAGAGATTTATACCTAGCCATTACTATAGAGATTTATATAGGAAGCTGAAAGGGCTGGTTCAAGGTTCCATGAGTGTAGAGGATTATTATAAGGAGATAGAAATCGCCATGATTAGAGCAAACATAGAGGAAGATAGAGAAGCAACAATTGCTAGATTCATTGCCGGATTGAACAAGAAGATTGCTGACATGGTTGAGTTGCAACATTACGTAGAAATGGAGGAGCTACTACACAAAGCCGTTGAAGTGGAGAAGCAAATCAAGTCTAAAAGGTTTAGATCTGGTTCGTCCTCTAGGTCTCTGTGGAGATCAAATTGGAAGGACAACAAAGCTGCCTTCAGAACAAAAGAAGAAGCAAAGTCGAAGAATTTGGCTGTTGTTCCTAAAGATAAACCCAAAACTAAGACTTCTTACTAAGTCATGTGATATTGAGTATTTTAGGTGTCAAGGATTCGGACATATTACTTCCGAATGCCCAAACAAAAAGGTTATCGCTGTACGGGCAAATGGAGAAGTCGAAAGTGCTAGCTCAAGTGACGATGAGATGCCACCATTAGAGGATTGTTCTAATGTTAAAGTGGAAGAACCTGTGCATGGTGACTTACTTGTTACAAGGAGAGCCCTGAGCATACAGCCTAAGGATGAAGGAGATGAGGAGCAAAGTGAGCATATTTTTCACACAAGATGCCACATGAAGGATAAGGTATGTATGTTGATTATTGATAGTGGGAGTTGTACTAATGTTGCTAGTACTTTGTTGGTAGAAAATTTGAATTTGAAGTGGAAGAAGCATCCTAAACCGTACAAGCTACAATGGCTGAATGATTGTGGAGAAGTGAAGGTAAACAAGCAAGTTCGGGTTCCTTTTTCAATTGGCAAGTATGAGGATGGGGTTCTTTGTGATGTGGCACTGATTTATGTTGGTCATATATTGCTTGGCCGACCGTGGTAGTTTGACATGAGGGTGTCACATGATGGGTACAAAAATCGTTATTCTTTTGTAATGAACAACTGAAAAGTTGTATTAGCTCCTCTCAAACCTTTGCAAGCTTATAAGGACTAGATTAGGATAGCAAAAGAGGGCAAAATGAGAGAGAAACAACAGTGTGAGCAAGAGGAAATAGAAAGAGAGCAAGTGAGGTCGAGAGGAAAAATGGAGAGAAAAGCGAGCAAAAAGGAGAGAAAAGTGAGCAACATGGAGAGAAAAATAAAAGAATGAGTGTACTTGTTTAAAAACATGAGGTTAAGAGTGTAATGATGGCAAGGCAATATGTACTTGTACTTATGTACGAGGACATTTATCTTTCTACTAACGACTTTAACTCATCTTTGCCTAGTGTTGTCATGTCTTTATTGCAGGAATTTGAGGACCTATTTCCTGAGGAGATTCCCCATGGATTANTTGATGACCAATTTAAATTGCTGAATGCGAGATTGAATGATTTGGAGTCCTCTTCCACTTCTAAATCACATAGAAGACATGAGTTCGATGAAGAAGACGAAGTTGATTCCGAAGTGGAGAGAACAAGTTATAAACGGGCCAAGAAGGTTGACTCCAAATGAGATAACAATATAGGCAGTATAAAGATGGCAATTCCAACTTTTCAAGGAAGGAATGATCCTGAGCTATACTTCGAGTGGGAAAGAAAGGTTGAGCACGTATTTGATTGTCATAATTACTTAGAGGAGAAGAAAGTAAAGCTAGTAGCCGTGGAGTTTACAGATTATGCAGGTATATGGTGGGATCAATTGGTGATCAATAGGCGCAGGAATGGTGAGAGGCCTATTCGGTTATGGGAAGAGATGAAGTTGGTGATGCGCAAGAGATTTATACCTAGCCATTACTATAAAGATTTGTATAGGAAGTTGCAAGGGTTGGTTCAAGGTTCCATGAGTGTAGAGGATTATTATAAGGAGATAGAAATTGCCATGATTAGAGCAAACATAGAGGAAGACAGAGAAGCAACAATGGCTAGATTCATTGCCGAATTGAACAAGGAGATTGCTGACGTGGTTGAGTTGCAACATTACGTAGAAATAGAGGAGCTACTGCACAAAGCCGTTAAAGTGGAGAAGCAATTCAAGTCCAAAAGGTTCAGATCTGGTTCGTCCTCTAGGTCTCAATGGAGATCAAATTGGAAGGACAACAAAGCTGCCTTCAGAACAAAAGAAGAAGCAAAGTTGAAGAATTCGGTTGCTGTTCCTAAAGGTAAGCCCAAAACTAAAACTCTTACTAAGTCATGTGATATTAAATGTTTTAGGTGTCAAGGATTCGGACATATTGCTTCCGAACCCAAACAAAAAGGTTATGGTTGTACGAGCAAATGGAGAAGTCGAAAGTGCTAGCTCAAGTGACGATGAGATGCCACTATTAGAGGATAGTTCTGATGTTAAAGTGGAAGAACCTGTGCATGGTGACTTACTTGTTACAAGGAGATCCCTGAGTATACATCCTAAGGATGAAGGAGATGAGGAGCAACGTGAGCATATTTTTCACACAAGATGCCACATGAAGGATAAGGTATGTACGTTGATTATTGATAGTGGGAGTTGTACTAATGTTGCTAGTACTTTGTTGGTAGAAAAGTTGAATTTGAAGTGGAAGAAGCATCCTAAACCGTACAAGCTACAACGGATGAATGACTGTGGAGAAGTGAAGGTAAACAAGCAAGTTCGGGTTCCTTTTTCAATTAGCAAGTATAAGGATGGGGTTCTTTGTGATGTGGTACCAATGTATGCTGGTCATATATTGCTTGGCCGACCGTGGTAGTTTGACATGAGGGTGTCGTATGATGGGTACAAAAATCGTTATTCTTTTGTAATGAACAACCGAAAAGTTGTATTAGCTCCTCTCAAACCTTTGCAAGCTTATGAGGACTAGATTAGGATAGCAAGAGAGGCCAAAATGAGAGAGAAACAACAGTGTGAGAAGGAGGAAAATAGAAAGAGAGCAAGTGAGGTCAAGAGGAAAAATGGAGAGAAAAGTGAGCAAAAAGGAGAGAAAAGTGAGCAACATGGAGAGAAAAATAAAAGAATGAGTGTACTTGCTGAAAAACATGAGGTTAAGAGTGTAATGATGGCGAGGCAACAAGTACTTGTCCTTATGTACGAGGACATTTATCTTTCTACTAACGACTTTAACTCATCTTTGCCTAGTGTTGTCATGTCTTTATGGCAAGAATTTGAGGACCTATTTCCTGAGGAGATTCCCCATGGATTACCTCCTCTAAGAGGAATTGAGCATCAAATAGACTTCATACCTGGTTCTGCCATGCCAAATTGACCTGCTTATAGAGCTAATCCCAAGGAAATGAAGGAGATACAAAGGCAAGTGGATGAGCTGTTGCAAAAGAGATTTGTAAGGGAGAGTCTCAGCCCATGTTCGATTCCTTTCCTCTTAGTCCCAAAGAAAGATGGAACATGGCGCATGTGTATGGATTGTCGAGCTATTAACAAGATAACGGTAAAGTATAGACATCCTATCCCCAGATTAGATGATATGCTTGATGAATTGCATGGCTCTCAATTGTTTTCTAAAATTGATTAAAGAATGGCTATTATCATATTCGCATGAAAGAGACAGATGAATGGAAAACTGCATTTAAAACTAAATATGGATTGTATGAGTGGTTAGTAATGCCTTTCGGTTTAACTAATACACCTAGTACATTAATGAGGTTAATGAACCATGTCTTGCGTGCTTTCATAGGAAAATTTGTGGTAGTTTACTTTGATGATATTTTAGTTTATAGCAAAAATTTGGATGAACATGTGAAACACTTGCATGCTGTGTTTAGTGTGTTAAGGGAGCACCAATTGTATGCTAATCTTAAGAAGTGCATGTTTTGCATGGAATCTGTTGTGTTTCTTGGATTTGTTGTTAGTTCACAGGGTACTAGTGTTGATGAAGAAAAGGTGAGGGCCATAAGGGATTGGCCTACACCTAAGAATGCGAACGAGGTGAGAAGTTTCCATGGTTTAGCAAGTTTTTATTGAAGGTTTGTTAAAGATTTTAGTTCTATTTCTGCACCTTTGAATGAACTTGTTAAAAAGAATGTTGTTTTTAAGTGGGATGATGTGCATGATCGGGCTTTCAAAACTTTGAAAGATAAGCTAACTAATGCACCTTTGTTGTGTTTGCCTAACTTTGATAAAGCTTTTGAGATAGAATGTGATGCATCCGGGATTGGAATANTTTTAGTTCATATTATAAGCTTCATTTCCCATTTTGCCCTTGTCCTTCCTTGGAAATTCCATCTATATCCTTTGATTCTTTACAACTACACCCCCATTCAAACACAATCTCTACTAAATTTCCTTTCATTTTACTCCCAACTTTTCCTACTAATTAGGGGTAGAATGGTCATTGTGTCCCAAAAGAAGAATTCTCTAGAAAACTCAAGAATTTTTGTCCTAGGCTCGTCGCCGCGGCGAAACATTTTTCGTCGCCTCGGCGAAATAGGGCAGAACCTACCCGTAGTGTAACTTCTCCTCCTCGCCGCGGCGAAGCTTCTTCTTCGCCCCGGCGAAGATTGGATTTCCAACTTCACCAAAACTCAACCCATTTTCAAGGCAACAATTCAACAAACTCAACATACAAACTCAATTTAAGTTGAAACAATAAACTTTTAACTAATACAACAAATCTTAAATACGTACCTCAAGTGGGATATTACAGTTTCTTAGATTTGTTGTTAGTTCACAGGGTACTAGTGTTGATGAAGAAAAGGTAAGGGCAATAAGGGATTGGCCTACACCTTAGGATGCGAACAAGGTGAGAAGTTTCCATGGTTTAGCAAGTTTTTATCGAAGGTTTGTTAAAGATTTTAGTTCTATTGCTACACCTTTGAATGAACTTGTTAAAAAAAATGTTGTTTTTAAGTGGGATGATATGCATGATCGGGCTTTCAAAACTTTGAAAGATAAGCTAACTAATGCACCTTTGTTGTGTTTTCCTAACTTTGATAAAGCTTTTGAGATAGAATGTGATGCATCCGGGATTGGAATAGGAGTTGTTTTGATGCAGGATTCCAAACCAATTGCTTATTTTAGTGAAAAGCTAAGTGGGGCAGCGTTGAATTATCCTACTTACGACAAGGAGCTTTATGCATTAGTGAGAACTCTTCAAATATGGCAGCATTAGAACAAGTTGGCTCTAATACCAAATGATGGAATAGGAACAAGTTGTTTTGCTAGGAGCGTGTTGAGGATGATCGAATTAGAACCCTAAGGAAACTAAGTACTTAAAACCCTAATCTTGAGACGCCACAAAGGTTGATCACTCCCTTTGATAAGTCGAGATTCAAGCATTCAATCAAGAGCACAAGAAGGCAAAGCAAATAGCTTTCTGAAATAAACTTCTATTGATAATAATCTGTCCTCCAAAAAATAACATGGCTGCCCCTTTTTATAAGCAACAAACCCTGAAAGAAAACCCTGGCTAATTGAAAAACGGGTTGGGCCTAAGTACAAGCGAATTGGGCCTGATAAACCTTGAATAAATAAAAGACTAAAGAATCTAAGGATAATTAAAACAGAAAAAAAAAAAAGTCCAAGATTAAATAAATGAAAATTAATTCCTAAATTAATCCTTACATCCAACTTGATCTTCTGAATCTACCCCTTGCATAAAAAGATAATAGTCCATCCTTGGTGAAGCTTTGAAGTCTTCGAATTTAGTCTTAGAGTCTTCTAGTACAGCGTCTTTGTAATATTGCACTTCCATGATCAAGCCTTGCAAATCCTCTTTCATCATCTTTGTCTTTGCCCTAGTCATTGGACCGCCAATTCCTTGCAAAGGATCTTGAGAATATTTGGGAACATCAACTTGGTCAGCACCTTGATCTTCATTATCAACGGATCCCATCTTGATTATCACTTGTCCTCACACATAAATAACACATGGCCAAATCGGCTTATTAACACATGACATGATTAGCCTCGTGTTTATACACCATATGAACCATATGCGTTTATGCAGAATCCAACCATGATATCTCAGTAAAAACATGAGGTTAAGAGTGTAATGATGGCGAGGCAACAAGTACTTGTACTTATGTACAAGGATGTTTATCTTTCTACTAACGACCTTAACTCATGTTTGCCTAGTGTTGTCGTGTCTTTATTGCAGGAATTTGAGGACTTATTTCCTGAGGAGATTCCACATGGATTACCTCCTCTAATAGGAATTAAGCATCAAATAGACTTCATACCTAGTTCCGCCATACCAAATCGACATGCTTATAAAGCTAATCCCAATGAAACGAAGGAGATACAAAGGCAAGTGGATGAGCTGTTGCAAAAGGGATTTGTAAGTGAGAGTCTCAGCCCATGTTCGGTTCTTGTCCTTTTAGTCCCAAAGAAAGATAGAACATGGTGCATGTGTGTGGATTGCCGAGCTATTAACAAGATAACGGTAAAGTATAGACATCCTATCCCCATATTAGATGATATGCTTGATTAATTGCATGGCTCTCAGTTGTTTTCTAAAATTGATTTAAAGAATGTCTATTATCCGATTCACATGAAAGAGGGAGATGAATGGAAAACTGCATTTAAAACTAAATATGGATTGTATGAGTGGTTAGTAATGCCTTTCGATTTAACCAATGCACCTAGTACATTCATGAGGTTGATGAACCATGTCTTGTGTGCTTTCATGGGAAATTTTGTGGTAGTTTACTTTGATGATATTTTAGTTTATAGCAAAAATTTGGGTGAACATGTGAAACACTTGCATGTTGTGTTTAGTGTTGAGAGAGCACCAATTGTACGCTAATCTTAAGAAGTGCATGTTTTGCATGGAATCTGTTGTGTTTCTTGGATTTGTTGTTAGTTCGCAGGGTATTAGTGTTGATAAAGAAAAGGTAAGGGCAATAAGGGACTGGCCTACACCTAAGAATACGAACGAGGTGAGAAGTTTCCATGGGTTAGCAAGTTTTTATCGAAGGTTTGTTAAAGATTTTAGTTCTATTGCTGCACCTTTGAATGAACTTGTTAAAAGGAATGTTGTTTTTAAGTGGGATGATGTGCATGACCGGGCTTTCAAAACTTTGAAAGATAAGCTAACTTTGATAAAGCTTTTGAGATAGAATGTGATGCATCCATGATTGGAATAGGAGCTGTTTTGATGCAGGATTCCAAACCAATTGCTTATTTTAGTGAAAAGCTAAGTTGGGCAGCGTTGAATTATCCTACTTACGACAAGGAGCTTTATGCATTAGTGAGAACTCTTCAAACATGGCAGCATTACTTGTGGCCGAGGGAATTCATCATTCATTCTGATCATAAGAGCTTGAAGTTCTTGAAGACCCAAGGTAAGCTTAATAAAAGACATACTAAGTGGTTGGAGTTCATAGAAACGTTTCCTTACATAATCAAATACAAGCATGGGAAGGAAAACGTTATGGCTGATGCATTGTCTAGGAGGTACGTATTACTTACTTCATTGCAAACTAAATTNCATAAGTTTGGGGGTTGTAAAATGGTTGACACTTTGATTAGTGGTTGAAAAAGAAAGCGGAGATTGATGTAGCTCTTAGTGATTGCATGAGGAAAACCGAGTTCTTTTACTTTGTTTATCCTATCCTTTTCCTTGAAGCCCACTACCCAAGCCTAACGTTACAAGCTTGCAAAGACATTTTAATCCTTAGCGATGTCTAGTCCACATTAGTGGAGAGTAGTTCGATACTTAGGCTTATGGAGTCTACCACCATTTGATAAACTTTACATTTCTGCATAAAATAATTCGGGAAGTCGGAAGGTGGACTGAAGTGGGGATTGCCTACTAAGGGGCCCGATAGAGAAAGATAGTTAATTCAATTTATGACTTCTTGGAGCATTGAGCATTTTTTTTTTTTTTTTTGTAATAATGTACCAACAATTTTTGAGACTTGCACTGTGATTCAATCTAGGTATTTATCTTTCTTTTGTTTTGATATTTATTTATTTTTGCTCGAGGACGAGCAAGTCTTAAGTTTGGGGATATTTGATAATCCTATTTTTCTCTATGATATTTCGATAGGATTTAGGATACTTTTCATACAATTTAGGCCATAATTGCTACCTAATTATATTAATTTTTCTTTGCAGGCCTAAACGATGATTTTGAGCATAAATGACAGTTTTGAGTGTAAATTGCATAACTTAAGTTTGGATAAGTCGGAATGACCTGAATTTAGAAGCTTTGGAAATCTAAGAAGCAGAGCTACAACATTTATGTTTTGGGTTTTTCCTAATTCAAACTGGAAGAGGGTGAAAACTTGGCTTGAAGTTGTGAACAGTATGTTGGGAACTGAAGAAAAACGTCTTTGGATGTGCTTCAGTAGTTTGGCGATAACGTGCAATTTAGACCTCGGATCTGGCTGATTCTTGAACGAGTAGAAATATAATTGAAAAGGATAAAATTCATATGTTTACCACTTTTTCAAATTCAGAATATATCATGCTCAAAGTTTTCCCGAAAGATCCTCGTCGTGGCAAAGAAAAATATTCGCCGCGGCGAAACTGCGTCAGATGTGAAAAATAAAACGACGCGTTTTGGCTTGCTAGGGCTTCATCCTTAAGTGAAAGAGGTATAAATTAGCATGAAAAGGAAGGGAAAAGGGTCTTGGTTCGTCATTTGGAAGGCAGCTCTTGGAAGGAGAAGATTATTGAAGATTTGAGCTTCAAATTAAAGAAGATTTCTCCATCTTTTGCTTGTTTTTCAATGATGAATCTTGATTCAGTTTGTTTTTGTTGTTTTATTTTGTTTTTGAGTATGAACTGAGTTGTTTAGCTAGGGTTTGATGTAACCTTGATACAATGATTCAAATTTATATGAATTGATTTACTTTGAGTTTTAATTTCATGATTGAGTGTTATCTCTTTGCTTAATGACTTTTGGATGCTTGATCACCATTCAAATGTATGTTGTTCACAATGAGANAACTCACAAAACTTCACAACCAAAGCAAGAATCCTTACCTTAGGATGCCTTAGATTGATTTTCTACCCCAAATCACTCCAAAAGCTCTTTAAAACTCCTTGAACAAAAGAAAGAGAAATTGAGAGGAAGCAAGAGAGGAGAGTGGCGATGGAGAAGAAGAATGAAGGGGTTTCAATGACTTAATTCCTTTTAATGAACTTTATACACAAGCATTCCCATTTTGCCCTTACTCTTCTTTGGGAATTCCATCTATATCCTTTGATTCATTGCAAACACACCCCCATAACAACATATTCTCCATGAAAATCCCTTACATTTTACTCCCCACTTTTCCTACTAAAAAGGGGTAGAATGGTCAAATTGCCCTTAGGAAAGAAAATATCTAAAACTTAACAAACATTTTGGTTGGCACGTCGCCGCAGCGAGGAATCTTCCGTCCCTGCGACGAAACTGTCCAGCAGCTTCCCATGGCTTCAACACCTCTTCGCCGCGGCGAAGATTCTTCTTTGCCTCGGCGAAGCATGGAATACTGAACTTCTTCTATTTCAACCAATTTCAGGGCAAGAATTCAACACACCACTCAAACAAAGGTCAACCAAACAAGAACACGAATAAACCAACTCAAATAAGAGCAAAAGAAGAAACGTTAGCTACGTACCTCAAGTGGGGCGTTACAGATAATGCCTATAAGCTAGATTTGCCAAGCAACTATGGTAATGTCAGTGCAACTTTTAATGTTGTTGATTTATCTTTGTTTGATGTAGGTCATTCGAGGACAAATCCTTTCGAAGAGGAGGAGAATAATGGAGATCGAGGTGCTGACCAAGTTGATGTTCCCAAATATTCTCAAGATCCTTTGCAAGGAATTGGCGGTCCAATGACTAGGGCAAAAACAAAGAGCATGAAAGAGGCTTTGCAAGGCTTGATCATGGAAGTGCAATGCAAAGAGGCTGTGCTAGAAGAATCTAAGACTAAATTCGAAGATTTCAAAGCTTCACCAAGGATGGTCTATTATCTTTTTATGCAAGGGGTAGAATCAAAAGATCAAGTTGGATGCAAGGATTAATTTAGGAATTAATTTTCGTTTATTTAATCTTGGGTTTTTTATGTTTTAATTATCATTAGATTCTTTAGTCTTTTATTTATTCAAGGTTTATTTAGGCCTAATTCACTTGTACTTAGGCCCAACTCATTTTTCAATTAGCTAGGGTTTTCTTTTAGGGATTGTTGCTTATAAAAAGGGGTGGCCACGTTATTTTTTTGGGACAGATTATTATCAATTGAAGTTTATTTCAGAAAGCTATTTGCTTGCCTTCTTGTGTTCTTGATTGAAGGCTTGAATCTCGATTTATCAAAGAGAGTGATCAACCTTTATGGCGTCTCAAGATTTGGTATTTTAAGGACTTAGTTTCCTTAGGGTTCTAATTCGATCATCTTCAACATGTTCCTAGCAAAACAATTTGTTCCTATTCCATTGGGTTCATGGGTTCCTAGGGTAATTTGCCTATAGGGTCTACATCAACAATTCTAAGAACTTTGGTGAGTAAGCGTTTAAGAGATTGGGATAATAAATTAGCTCATGCTGAGTTTGCTTACAATAGGTTCCCTAATGCTACAACCGGCCATACCCCATTTGATGTCCTTTATGGCCTTAATCCCATCACACTGATTGAGTTAAATGCCTTACCCCTTGATATACAAGTGAATCTTGATGCTAAAGAGAAGGCCAAGTCTATGAAGAAGCTACATGAGTCAATTAGGGCCCAAATAGCCAAATCCAATGAAGCTTATAGGAGGAGAGCCAACAAACATAGAAAACCCACCTATTTTCAATTGGGAGATCTTGTGTGGTTTCACTTGAGGAAGGAAACGTTCCCATTCGGGAGGAAAAGCAAATTGGCACCTAGGGTTGATGGTCCATTTGAGGTTCTTGAAAAGATTGGGGATAATGCTTATAAGATAGATTTACCATAAGAGCTTGGTAATGTTTTGGCTACATTCAACGTTGGGGACTTGTCACCTTACTTGGAAGATGGAGACTTATCGGATTTGAGGTCAAATCCCTCTCAACCTAGGGAGGATGATATGAACCTCAGCCCAATGAGTTCTTTAATTGCCCATGATTTTCCAATGAAACAGCAAGAAGCCCAAGCTTCCCAAATTGTGCAACATTCAGCCTAAATCATTAAGAAGATTCACAAGCTAGTCCATGGAGTAACAAGGATCCAAGAAATGTTCAAGGGCTCCAACAATAGCCCAACCCATGAGCAACAAGTGTGGAAAAGCCTTCAGGGCCCAAGCCCAAGCCCAAGTGCAGGATGTCATTTGATTCAAGTGAAGGAGATTAATTCAAGCTAAAGGTTCTCAGAGACAAGAATCCTTAATTTAAAGAAAGTGTAAGGGAGTTGTTTTGCTTGCATTAAATAGGCATGGTCCAACTAATGGAGATCGAGGTGCTGACCAAGTTGATGTTCCCAAATATTCTCAAAATCCTTTGCAAGGAATTAGCGGTCCAATGACTAGGGCAAAGACAAAGAGGATGAAAGAGGCTTTGCAAGGCTTGATCATGGAAGTGCAATACAAAGAGGCTGTAATAGCGACTCTACGACAAAATTCAGAGATTCAAAGGTTCACCAAGGATGGCCTATTATCTTTTTATGCAAGGGTAGATTCAGAAGATCAAGTTGGATGCAAGGATAATTTAGGAATTAATTTTTATTAATCTTGGGCTTTTTTTTTTATGTTTTAATTATCATTAGATTCTTTAGTCTTTTATTTATTAAGGTTTATTTAGGCCCAATTCGCTTGTATTAGGCCCAACCATTTTTCAATTAGCTAGGGTTTTCTTTAGGGTTTGTTGGTTATAAAAAGGAGCAGCCATGTTATTTTTTGGGGACAGATTATTATCAATTGAAGTTTATTTTAGAAAGCTTATTTTTGCGCCTTTATGTCTTGATGAATGCTTGATCTCAACTTATCAAAGGGAGTGATCAACCTTTGTGGCGTCTCAAGATTGGGGTTTTAAAGACTTAGTTCCTTAGGGTTCTAATTCGATCATCCTCAACACATTCTAGCAAAACAACTGCTCATATCCATCATTTGGTATCAAAGCTTTGGTTGCTGGAGACAAGTGATTATCTCCAACACTCTTTGTTTGCGTTCTTGATTCAAAAGAAAAAAAGTTGAATTCGTTTTCATAGTTCTTCTGCGTAAAAAAAAAAAAAAAAAAAAAAAAAAAAAAAAGAGGTCCGCAAAAAAAAAAAAAAAGAAAAAGAAAAAAGAAAGAAAGAGCAAGCAAGTGTCATTGCAAAAGGCTTTCGTAGCATTTTCAATGTTGCCGATTGTGAAACAACTCAATTTTATGCAAGTAAAACATGTCTTACACTCAAAATGAAAGTGAAAATCTCATTAGTGACTGTGAACTTCACTATATATGCCGTAGAAGTTATGGTAAAAGGCTTTCGTAGCATTTTCGAGTTGCAGACTGTGATGCCACTTGATTTTATGCAAGTAAACTGTGTTTGTCACTAAAAACGAAAGTGCAAGCATTATCTTATTTGCAAAATTCAGTATATATATGATGC